ACAAGTTTATGCCAAAGTACTTGATATGGAAACAAAAGAGATATATGTTTCCAAAGATATCAAATTTATTGAACATGTTTTTCCTCTCCAACATATCAAGGTTAATATTGTCCAACATGTCAATCTTCCAAAAGATATCATTAATGATTAAATTCAAACAGACAATTTTACCCCCACATATACAATTCAACAATTCAATTATAGTCTATATTCTTTAAATTCACATATTCATCCCAATTCAGATAATCATCATATATCACTATCTCCACCTGTTATAACTCATCCACCAAATGTCAGACAATCTAATAGATACATTAATCCACCTCCTCATGTGAATGACTACGTCTGCTATAATGTTATGAATCATAACGAACAATTTGATGATTGTTCTCATATAATTACAAATTCTTTTATCAATGATTCAAATACTTTTTCCCATGCTTCCAATCATGTTACAACAATAAACGAAAGTGCAACTCAAAAGATCACATAACCAACTTTGTTTCATCAAGCAAAGGGAAATCCACTTTGGCAGGAGGCAATGCAAAAGGAATTTGATGCTTTAAATGACAATAAGACATGGGAAGTTGTTAAACTTCGTAAAGTAAAGCGTCCCATTGACTGTAAATGCGTCTATAAAGTGAAATATAAAGCAAATGGAACTATTGAACGTTATAAAGCTTGTTTTGTAGCTAAAGGATTTACACAAAAGAGGGTGTCTATTACCATGATACTTTTTCGACTGTCATAAAATTCAATACATTTTGTAGTCTTGTTGCTTTAGTTGTGAAGAAGAAATGGAAGATCCACCAATTTGATGTAAATAACGTCTTTTTGCATGGTGATTTACATGAAGAAGTGTATATGAAAAGGTCACCTGGTTTGAATTAGTCCAGTCCATCTCTTGTATGCAAGCTAAAGAAGTCTTTGTATGGATTGAAGCAGGTTTCAGACCAATGGTAAGATAAGCTATCTTCAACCTTAACTCAAAATGGTTTTCAACGATCGGTAAATGATTACTCTTTATTCATCAATAAGGTAAATAACTCCATCATCATTGTTGCAGTTTATGTTGATGACGTTCTTGTAACTAGCGATAACAATGATGAAATTTCTGCCCTTAAAATTTTTCATGATGATCGGTTCAAAATCAAAGATTTGGGAACAATTAATTTCTTTCTGTGATTAGAATTTGTTGAAACAGAAAATGGAATGATGGTTCATCAACATAAGCTCATAAAGGATTTATTGGATGCATATCTACCCAATAAAGCCAAGATTGTTCATTCTCCTTTGCCCAACAAGCTCAAAGATCTTTCTATAAAAACAAAGTGTCCAGATGATCCAACTATATTCAGACAGTTAGTTGGGAAGTTCATTTTTTTTTACTTTATACACGTCCGGACAGTTAGAGGCTTTTTGAGATTCTGACTGAGCAGCTTGTCCCACAACTCGTCATTCTATTAGTGGTTTTTTTCATAACAATGGGAGGAAGTCCAATTTCTTGGAAATCAAAGAAACAAGCCACCATTTCTTTATCATCAACTGAAGCTAATTACCGATCAGTGCGTCAAGTTTGTTTTGAATTGGCATGGATAAGTCGATTGCTTTCTGGATTTGAAGTCTCCAACATTACTCCAATTCCAATAAAATGTGATAACATGGTAACTATTTACATAGCTAAACATGAAACATATCGAAATCGATTGTCATTTTGTGCGAGAAAAGTTGCAAAGTGGATTAATATCATTATCGCATATTCTACTAAAGATGAACCAGCTAATATATTCGCAAAGGCTTTATCTGGTGTTGAACATCAGCATGCGATTTCCAAGCTAGGTCATAGTCAACTATCATTGTTGTAAATAGTTAATTAGTCTTCTGATAAGAATTGCATGTGACTTAAGTTTGTTACTCATATAGATTAAAGTTAGTTTATTATTCTTGTATACGATGAAGGCTGTAATCATTTTATAAGAGTTAATGAAAAGATTCTTTCAAATCATTTTTTTCCTTCATCTTCTACAAAAAATTGGGGTAAATTTCTAAAATAGTTTTGAAAAAAAATTAAAAGGATTGACCAAAATATATAAAAAATGAAAGACCAAATTTGTAATAGAAAATAAAACTTTTGGTCAAAACTGTACAAAGGAAACGAGAGTGGAAAAGGCAAAAGATGAATAAGAATGTTAATTGTAATAAAAGTTAATAGTTTCATAAAAAAAAATAAGGACCAATTTTATAATAGAAAATCATCTAAGCTAAAACTATAAAATAATGGGATTGGTTGCAGCCGAATTAAAATTATTTTTATTTATTATTTTGATTTGATACTGTGTAATTGTGTTGTATATATGTTTAATTATATAATATAGACAAAAACTTTGCAAATGGTCTATATGGTTTCTAAGAATTTAGGTTTTAGTTTCTAATTTTAAAAAACTTCAATGAAGATTCGTATAGTTTAATGAATGGCATTTTCCGATGTAATTTTTTCTTAAGTTCAATGTAAGGATTAAGGTATTTTTTTTCTAAAGTTTGATGTTGTAATAGAAAAACAAAATTAAAAGTTTAATGTAGGATTTCTTTGTATTTAGATGTATTTTTAAAGTTACTTCATTATATTATAATTATATGACTTCATTCCCTTGTTTACAACAAAACATTATTCTACAATTTTAGAAATTTTAAAAATTTTAAAAACAATTATTAAAATTATATTTTTATGAAATGTATATAAATAATATATAAAATATTAATCTACAATTACATAAATTAATTGGTAATAAATAGTTGAAGAAACTAAAAATTAGAAATATAATACCATATAATAGCCTGGCAAACTTAAACAAAATAAACACTTTCTTGCAGTAAATTCGACCAAATTTTTATTAATACTAAAATCAACAAAAAAGAAAATGCTATTTTTATATAAAAAGAAGTGTTATTTATATTTTTAATCGAGTAGGAAGAAAAAATGACAAAAATTAAGATTTAAAACAAAATAGTGGCTCAAAAGTGCTTGAAAAATAATCACAGGTAATCCCTCATAGTTGTAATGATATGAGAGAGATTGTGTTCATCATCATTGCCACTTTTTAACCTCTGTTTCACCTCTTTCTTTAAAATCATAACATAATAATTCAATTCATGTTCAAGAAACTACTCATCAACAGATTCTTAAAATCGGAAAGAAACCATTCGAAAATTTAAAAAGTTAACAATCCAAAAAGACGAAAACGGGATTCAGAATGAGTAGGAGGTTAATTGTTCAATCACTTCGCATAATTTATGCTTCAGAAGACATTGTCAAATAAACTTTCATCATCACTATGCCAATTTCACCGATTTCAAACGAATTATTGCTCATGAAAAACAGATCAAAACAAGAACGAAAACGTACTCAGAAGCAGAACAAAATCATTTAACGAATTATGAAGGTAATTGAAATCATGAGATTTACCTGTTGGAATGATTCAAGAAGATCATGTGTTTGCGTTCAAATATAAAAGGGGGAAGTGGCTTTTGAGAGTTTAGGTGCTTAGGGTTAGGTTTAGGTTTTAGGGCATCATTCAGCTACAAAATTGTATTATGGGCCTCTATATAGCCTAAGCCCTAATGCCTAAAGGCTTCTCATGGTGGGCTTCTTACAATAGTTAGGTGTTTCAAGTTTGTATTTCTATACAAAGACAAGAATAACAAATATATATTACAAGAAGAAAAAACAAAATATAACATTATTTTTTTAATATTTTTTTAAAATTAATCATAATTTAATAAAATCCTCCTAATTAACAATAGGGAAAACGTAAAAATGTGTCTTTTTTTTTTCAAAAACAAATCACAATTTAATAAAATCCTCCTAATCCACCTATAAATTTTCCATATATTTAGAGAGTGTTTTGGAGTGTTTTTTATACTTAAAAGTGCTTTTTTAGAAAAGTGCTTATTGGTTTATGGCTTTTTTCTAAAAACAGTTTTAAAAATGTCTTTGGATTGGCTTTTAAAATGATAAAAGTTAAAAAGTTAATAAGCTCTAAAAAGCTACAACTCTCTTGCTTTTTAAAAACTACTTATTCTCCTTTACTAAAAAGTTATTTTTAAAAGTACTTTTCACTTATCCAAACACATTTTCCGCTTATTTGCTTATTGGATAAGCAAATAAGCTAATAAGTCTTTTTTATAAGCAATCCCAAACACCCCCTTAATAACAAACCTTATGGAATTTATTGTTTTTTTTTAAGGAAACTTCCTTACTTAATGAGAGTTTCGAGTCAGTTTTTACGTTCTGACTAACCCTCCGCTGCAAACATGAGACTCTCATGTCCTGAAGTCACTATAAACAAACTTCCATGGCTATGAAATTTATTGTTGCTTCATGAAGATTTTGGATTTTTTTTTTTTTTTTCAATTAACCTTGAAGTGTCAAATTTGTAAAATTCTATTTGAATGCCCTCTAGCATGTCAAATTAATTATCTCAACTAGGATTTCATTTCTATGATATTGTGCAATTTGTCAAGAGTCACTTAAGTACAAAAAAAAAATCTTACATTTTAGCTAATTTTACACTTAGTTTACTCTTGTAAAACGATGATCAATCTAAAAATTATTAATTATTATTTTAAACTTGTTTTTTTATATTAACCATATAAAATCACTAAACTATTTCAAACGACATGATATGGCATGACTTGTATAGCAAGGATCATGTTAAGATTGGACTATGATGAACTCAAAAGAGTTCGTGTAAATATTTGTTTGGCATACTAGTTGTTGCAAATCTAGTTTTTTGTTTGATAAGCAAATTAGTAGCTGATAAAGTAATACAGTTTGATAAAAACTTAGTTAAAAAGTTAGATAAAATTTTAAAATAACATAAAAAGACATAACCGGATAAATGTATATTTGTAAAACTTACACAAAAAATCATGAGCTTATCAATAAGCTATCTTGTTTAGTTTTTATTACAAAAATTAGATTATAAGTTACATTAATACTCTTACCAATTACCATACAACACTTTACAATAAACTAACTTATAAACGAACTTATAAAATTGAATATGGTCACACTTTATAAGAATTAAATAACATATAAACAAACTTATAAAATACTAACATTATCTAAACAAAACAACTTAAAATTTAGCAAAATTTCAAACAAATCGAATGATGAGCCTCCACATTGGGTAGATAAGCAAAAGAAGAATACCAATGGTGTTCGATATCCCATGGCTTTGCATGAAAGAATTCCTGAATCCACCAGATGCACGAATGTGTTCTTGAAGAAGATAACAACCAATCAAAAGACAAATCGCAACCCCAACCCAACTCCCCCTAAACGCATCAGCAAATAAACCCGGAGAAACTATCAAAAGAAGAATCAATGATCCAGGCATCTCCAACCAATCTGCACCCATTACCCAATCCAAAAATACATTCAAATTTCCCAATTTGTAAAAACTTAACCCGATCAAAGAGGAGAATGAAAACCTGGGAAATGACGTGGGAAGAACAGCCTTAATACAACTGCAATGAATGCGACCCACAACCCAAATTGTCCCCTGAAGATCGTCGGATACTTTTGTTACGTATGAAGAGAAGATTAGATGATTAGATGAATAAACTATAAAGAGGTTGGAAGAATTGGATACGAACCTTAAGAAGTGGAATAACGATGGAGGGAGACTGAAGTATATGTAAGGTACTAACAGTGATGTTAGCATGTTTGATCTCCAGTTTGTTCGATCCAGTATCAACAAATACCTGGATCATATGTTACAATCCTTAATCAAAGTCGTAATCAAGGACTTTGCAACGAAAATTCCTAAAAATGGCTAATTAATCTCCAACGATCCTAATCACATCGAACAGTTACTAAATTCACAATCTGGAAAGTAAATTTAAAATTTCAACATTTGATCATGATCGGATATTGTAATCAAAGTTGATTGAATTAAGGACAATTGAAAAACTCACATAGCAGCGAAGGATGCAACCCACGAAAGCAAGGAAGTGCCGAACCCTAACCCGCCGAGCTTACTGGCATGATTTAACAGCGTCTCTACGGCGAGCTTCAGCTCAGTGATATCGGCATTGAGTATCTCCGACGTCACCTCATCGGCCTTCAACGTCAAAATGTCGCTCCTCACCATTTCCACACTCGGATTTGATTAAACTAACACCAAATTGATCGACAATCAACGTTATGAACAGTAGAAAAGATGTATATCAAATGTTTGGGGTCCAAATGTACGAATTTTGAGGAGGAGGGAAGTGGAAATAGGTGTGAGTGAATGGGGCTCCATATTTTTAGCAACGGTATCTAGTGCCGGAAGTACGGTATGCTTCAAGTTTTCCGACTGTCGTTCCTCTTTCTTCTTATTTTCTTAAATTAGCTATTACAAAACTATATAATGGTGAATAACAGGAATGGTCCTTGTGGTTTGGATTACTTTGCCTATTTTATCATTAACATTTTTTTTTTAACTGATTTGTATATTTGATTATTAATTTTTTTTTTTTAACTTGGAATGTCTATTTGATTTCGTTTTGATTTGGGTTTAGTCCCTATCAAACCTAAAATGGTTGTCAATTTTTGTTGCTATTAGTTCCTTGAACAAGATCTCTAGTACAATGTGATGGTATAAATTAAGGAAAACTCACCCGAACTGCTGAACTCGGCCGATAACCCTCTGGCTGCTAACCAATAATTCTCCGAAATGATGCTCCTCTAGCTCCTTAAGCAACCAATACCAATAACAGCACTTAGACTAAACTGTCCTCCCGAGGTCAACTAAGTCAACTCTGGTCAAAGTCAACCTTCCGATTGACTCTACTCACTGAGTTACCTCATGACTCGTCGAGTTTAACATTCTGAGTCCTATCCCATCCAACTCACTGAATCACTACTCAACTCACTGCCTTGAGTCTTAACCAGAAGAGGTTGGAGTTCTACGACCTGACTCGCCGAGTCCAAGAACAGACTCGTCGAGTTCAAGGCAATCTTAAACAGACTCGCCGAGTTGTTCTTCCAACTCGTCGAGTCCATGCCCATCTTCATATGACTCGCCGAGTCCACCCAAGGAACTCGCCGAGTCTCTTCAGTCCTTCATCCATACAGAGGCCTTTTGAGCCATGCAGGGGCTCCAAACTGTAGATCCATTATTTGGAAGCCGTAACCACCGCCATGGCGTGCACTGCTGCTACTGCCCTTCGACGACGACGAACGAAGAAGAGCGCCTTCATGACGTGGTCGCCGGAGGCGTAACCAAATCGTGAAGGTGTCATGTGGCTGTCATCGCTAAAGGATTCATGTGGCTGTCATGTGACGTGGTCGTCTCGGGTCCACTGCCGCCATTAGCTACTTCTATGATGCCTTCGAGCTCCAACCGTCGCCGCCATATGGCTGTCATCGCTAATCTTGTCACCAGCCGCCATTCCTTCCACTTTTCGGTGTCGCTGCCATCGTGAAATAGCTATCACCGTCGCCATGAGCCACCAGTTCGGGAATCTGTCAGCCAGCAGCTGGGGTCGAGTCTGCGGGACTTCAGCAGTGTGGGATTGTGTCTACGGGACTTCAGCAATGTGAGGTGAGTTACCTTCCAGTAGCGGTGGTTCTACGGCCACAATGTCGGTCCACCAGTAGGAGTTATATGATAGATGATTGTCTCTATGATATTCATATAGGGTTGCTACTACCTGTGTTATGTTCATGTTCTAGTATGATATGATACTATGTGGTATGTGTTATGTGGTAGCAGTAGGGGGTGAAATAGTCCCTAGTAGCCGGTCGTAAGGACCGAAGGGGTAGGTCGGGTACCCAGATATGCCTGGCAGTATCCGGTCGTAAGGATCGAAGGGGTAGGTCGGGCACCCAGATATGTCCGGCAGTATCCGGTCATAAGGACCGAAGGGGAGACCAGCACCCAGATATGCTAGTCAGTAGCCGGTCGTGAGGACCGAAGGGGAGGCCAGCACCCAGATATGCTAGGCAGTATCCGGTCTAGAGGACTGAAGGGGAGACCAGCACCCAGATATGCTAGTCAGTAGCCGGTCGTGAGGACCGAAGGGGAGGCCAGCACCCAGATATGTTAGGCAGTATTCGGTCGAGAGGACCGAAGGGGTAGGTCGGGCACCCAGATAAGCCCGACAATATATGTATGTTATGGGATTATATGGTATGTGGTATGATGGGGGAACTCACTAAGCTTTGTGCTTACGATTTTCAGTTTTGGTTTCAGGTACTTCGTGTTTAAAGGAAAGGAGTCGGCTTGATCGCAGCGCATCACACTATGGTTTTCCGCACATGAGATCTTTGGGATTACACTCTGATATTGTTTTATGATAACATTTTGATTATTTCTACTTTGGTTTTGACATGACATAATATTACATATGTTTTATTACACTGTTGGTTTTAAAATGACGTAATTAAAAATGAAATTTTTGGCCTGTATTTTTGGGATGTTACAAGTTGGTATCAGAGCTTTGGTTTGAGGGATTCGGGCACACTCTCAGGTGTGTCTGAACTCAAACTAAAGACTTGGTATGAAATTTTCAAAAGTAAAATCATTTTATAAAAAGAATTTTGAAAAGAGAAAATGACTTTGAAAAGAATAAGGCGTGTGATGCGTGCAATCAGCCGAGCTCAAGTAAGTTTTCCCCAAGATACCCATACATGTTATGAGATGTTATGATATGATATGCTTATGAGGACTACATGCTAGATTAGGGCTAAGGATCTAGGAGGATGCCTTATATGCCTATTATATGTGTTTGTAGACTTGCATGCTAGCACTGCTCAGTCAGTGATAGGATAGCCTGTTTAGGTTATGCCTGATTGTATGAGCCTTTTAATTGCATGTACAAATTCCTAATTAGGGGATAAAATGATTTGATTGGAATATGATGGTTAGATTTTCCATTGTCTGAATGCTGCTTGCTTTGTGATTTGTGTGACTCTTAGTAATGTGAGCTAGCTATTAAGTGAATATGCTAAGTCACATGTGGCACAGGCTGGATAATCTCAGAGTGATAGATTTGACCCTATTGCGCAACTCTCGTTTGAGTCTAACCGTTATAGGGATGAGTCTGTTACTTGAAGGATTATCTGATCTCTGTTGCATGTGGCTATATTCCTGAGGTAGCTAGTTGACATTACTAGGAATCTTTCAGCAGCTGAGGACTGGGTGAGTTCGGGAACCTAGGGAAGCCTAGGATATATTTCAGTGAGTTAGTAGTGAGGCTCAGTTAGACTTGGGTGTACCAGTTGAGAAAGTGACTTGGAGGATCCGGGAGGATTGCTGAGGAAAGTATGGATAGGTGTGGAAGGTAGTATTGGGCCCGTACTACTGAAAGCACAGGATCCATACTCGAATCGGTGAGAGTCTTGGAGAATTAAGAAGCTTCAGGGAAGAGTTTGTGACCCAGTTTAGGGACAGAGGATGTTCCAGTTGTTGCAGCTTAGCCATTGGCAAGCGAGCTAGTGAGCGTGACAGAGTGTCAGACCCTGAAGGATATGATTTCCAAGAGTTGCAGATGCGGGATCGATTTGGGAGCACCCTGGAAAGAGAGGTGTGTGCCAGGTGTGTATAATAGGGGTCTCGGGAAGAGACCCATGATTTCTAATCATCGGATGAAGGGCCAGCAGGGCCAGAGTCAGTGCAGCACGTACAGGACAGTGTACAAGGGAGTTTGTCGCTCCGACGGTTTAGGCTGCTACAGGGTACTAGGGTTGGTCATCTCATGTTCAGGATAATTGTGTTTTCGCATGGGCTGTGTTCGGTTAGAGTTCAGTGGTACTGTATGTCACACCCCCAAACCTGAACGGCGAAAACGTTCGGGGGTGGATGACTTCATGTGGTAGCGTAACAAATGAATACATAGTAAAGAAAGCAATACAACCATCATATATATATATATATATATATATATATATATATATATATATATATATATATATATAATTGAAAGTTTACATTTGTCAAAAGTTACATGTTCAAAACCAATTACAATATGATGTCAAAATACGAGATTAAACTGGCGCCGCAGCATCCCTTCATCGAAAGCGTAATGAATACCTGAAATTACTGATTTCCTGGGACATACAAGTAATTTTGAAAGAGTAGATCAGCATTTAAGCTGGTGAGTTTCATAAGTATTTAAGTGACAATGTTTGTATGAAATGAAATGTTTTGTCTTTGTTTGTTTGTGTTTAGAAATTCCTATATTTTCTACTAGTATAAAAGTAGCCTTCACTCAAAACCAATGTTTGTTTCTAAAAATGTATGTAAGTGTAAAACAACCAATGTGTTTGAAAACCTTGTAAATCAATGCATTTTTAATACCCCATGTGAGTTTTATAACCATACTATTGACTCGGAATGCCTATACACAACGTTCTTCAGGCGTTGGAATGTTATGACGTTTGTCACCCCAAACGATGGACTGCAGCTAACAGTCAGGGCGCGGGTTGTCAAGCCCGTATAGATCTATACACAAACACCATGCTCCCCCTCCAAGGGATTCTGGTATATAATACAGGACTTGAAATGTGTACTCGAACGTACATGAAGTTAGTGTCTCACAAAACCGTGGTATAAAAACAGATCTACTTGTTAAAATGTTACGTTTGTTCTTGTATACGAAAGTGACTTCTTGAAATTCATGTTTCTAGTACATAAGAGTTAGAAATTTGTTCGTAAAACTATACCTATTATAGTTTTCTAAAAGTGTGTCTCGTTTGTTTAGAAATACCAAGAAAAGGAATCATTTGTTATGAAAGCATAGATTTTCGGTGTAGAGTCTAAGAATGATAAGTATAATCTAAGAAAGTTTAGTTTATACATGCATTACAACAAATTTATATTTCAAAATATAGAATGCTATTTTAACATATGTTATATATATGAAAGTTCCTTAAAAGTTTGTAAATCGCATGTGATTTGGATATATAAAAGCATATAAAAGAGTTCTTTATGTAACACACGATAATACTCGTGTGTTTTACTTGTAATCCCCCCCTTGAAAGCATATAAAAGAATTTATAGAACCTTTAAAAGGTAAATTAAGGGGTATGAACTCACTTGAAAGTTTGGAGATAGCGAGATGGAAAACCGGGCAGAGTTTCGTCTCGGGAAACGGATTTTTCTCGGGATTCTCGGAAATCTCGAGAGTAAAATCGACCCTCGGGACTTGAGCAAAAAGACCAGAGCTTCGGGTTTGAACGGGCACGGAAAACGAGGCAATATCGTGAAAGAAAGGAGAGAAATGAGCATTTTTCTCGGAAGCCCTCGCATGCTATTTATAGGAGGGTCTGAGAAGCCTCGTACGCAGCGCGTACGCGTATGTCAGGCATGACCGAAGCCTC